GAAGGACTTTACCTGTATTTCAAGCTACCTTCATGTCACTGCACTTGAGGCTTCTGCGCTTTGAGAGGAATTTGGGTGTTAAAGTCTTTTATGACATAGAAACAGCCCTTGAGCTGTCCTATGTAAGGGTAATTTGATACTGACTTTATATCGAAATTTCTATAATGATAGTTTTTAATGTCTGAGCTGGTGATTTGCCTCAACAACGTAAACTTCCTAATGATTAGCACTAAATAATTGAATATAAAATGCTTTATTAATCAAACAAGTGCACTTGAACATTTTAAATCTTTTCTTTATGGTGAGTAAATTAAAAGAAGTTTATTAATTTTTACAAATTATGCCTGCAGAATATGTACTTTATTTTATTTGATTAAAATGCATTATTTATGTATTTTTCTTTCTGCTTTTATAATAATGGTTCAGGTGCCTTTTGTTTACTAAGAGGTTTCTTTATTTTGTAGTATCTCTGGGAAAAGTCTGGGCCAAATATTTGAAAAGCACATTTAACTGAAGAGTGTAATGTGTAGTCCTGGCTCTGCGACTTCCTTAAACTTGGGGGCAATGTTGGGCCAGTGACAAAAGTTTCAGGGCGATGTCAAAGTTGACATTTAATAATTTTTCTACAGTCTATACCAATTATGTCAATTTAATGATCAAGAGTGAATGAATACTTGAAAAGCCAATTATAACATTTTCATTTATTAACTTTTCACTTTGGCAAATTGCTTTGTGGAATGCCTCTGCTTTCAAAACTTGCTTTCATTTTGAACAGCGTTTGGTATCAACTGAAATTGCTAGGTCTCAATGCTGTGGCTGCCGCTGTGATTCCATTTTTTGAGTAGGTGCCATATTTATTTGTATTCTCTTCGCTCTGTTTGCACACCCATTTTGAGCCAACTTACTGTGTGCATCTCAGATGTCGGTTGGTACGTCCTCTGTTGTTCTCCAGGATGGCCTCACCTATTTAAAACAAGCCGTGAGAGCAAATGCAGAAAAATCTTGAGTGTAAACATCGGCTCCAGAACATAGCTAGCTCCTTAATAAAGAAATGAATCTTTTTCTAGAGCTAGTGTCTTTGAGCGCCGCAAATAGCCTTTTTCCTGAATCAGGAACAATTGCTTTTACCCACATGAAGGTAATGTCCCCCCTAAAGCTCCCATTTGTTTAAAAAAAGAGAGAGAGGTGGGGGTTACATGTACCCATGCTATAAAAATTAATAAATGCATTGGGCGGGGGCTCTTTTTCTTTCCAGAGGGGGCTAGCTATGGCTGCCCACGCTTCATCTTGCTCTAAGTAATCTTGCTGAGATAATGTGAAAGCTTTGAACTTCACAAAGGACTGGAGTTGTAGGCCCAGTGGGGGACGACCCAGAGTCCAGGTTACACCACAGCTTATTCCACTGAGCCTGCACTGATGCTGGTGTTTGGGATCTGTTATTAACAAGATATCCGTTTTCCATTTGAAACTGCTTCTGCAGCTGCCATTTTATGAGAGAAGGGGAGGGGGAAGAGGAGTGGGAAAGGAGATTTCAAGTAAACTAACATTTCTCTCCTCAAAAGGGAAAGCACCTTGGTCAGGTAGACATTGAAGAGCTCTCTGCTTTTTCTAGATGCCTTTATTTTTTTAAAGGTACATTTTAATTTCCAGAGTGGAATTTATTGCACAGGTAAGGAACTTGAGTCCTATAGTTTTAGGCCTGGATCATTCAGGTGGTGTTGGGCTGTTTGTCCTATCCAGGACCAGGGAAATGTTCTTCATCAGGGCCAGAGACGAAGCACCACCTGACTTTCTGTCCAGGGAAGAGACCATGGCTGTGGCATTTTTCTGACCTGAGCCAGGAAAGACAATTTTAAGTCATGGATGGCTCCGGGCTTAAGAAACATTTGCACAGGAGAGGAGACAGCTGCAAATGTGCATGCTGGATTTGGAAACATTTTGCTCTGTGAGCCTCCTACTACTGTTGGCTGATACAGAGCAAGGATGCCAAATGCCTGAAAGTGTGACTAGGGAACAGTCTGGGGTAGGGATAAGCTGGCCAGAGAGTGGTATTGGCTAAACTCCAGCTGCCCTCCATTTAAGGGACCCCTTTGTCTATTAGCAAAATTTGCTTTCTGCGACTCAAAAATAACACATTTAGTGCCCCTGATTTGGATAAGAATCTATCAGGTGGGGAACCTGGTATGTGGATGGGTGTGGAAATCAGGAAAGAAGGGTTGGTAAAAATGTCCTTATTTCGTCTTTATTCTGTGCTGCTCTGGAAGTGCCATACCTTCTGGCTCCATTGTCCCCCTAACCACATGGTAAAATCATAGCTCATGTACAGAAAAAGATTATGTTGCAATTACTGGTATATTTGAGAATATTTGTACATATACAAATTTGATAATTTTTGGTATCTCTTGGATTTGTATAGATACATAGACTACACATGTGCAGAAAGTGTTGGTTAATAAATCAATGTCAGAATATATGTTTCTTTTTGTAGCTGGGAAAAGCATAGATTTGTTTCCAAATAAAGAGCTGGGGGAATCACACATCACACACACTCACCACCTTCTTTTTTATAGTGGCTACAAACCGCTCGGCATGGTGTTTCATGCAGACAGAGTCGAAGTGACAAGCACAGAAGACGCCCTTCTAATTGGCTCATATCTGTTAACATCCGAGGGTTGCAGGGTTGCGGCAAACATTTTTGCTGCAGAAATTTGCATAAACCTTCAGAGAACTCTCTTCACATCCAGACAACTGCTTCTCTCCCCTGGACTGCTTAGGGAATCTGCTTAGAGAGGTCTATAAACCGTTTAGAGAAAAATAAGAACACTAATGTTAATGTTCAATGAAAGAACCAAGCCTCTTAAGTGATTTAGTTTCTCTGTTTGCAAGGACTAGAAACAAAGGAGGATGTGGGTTTTTCAATGGTTCCTGGAGAAAAGTTAGTTCAGGGATTGCCATTTTGTGAAGTTCCACAAAGCCCAGCACATCTCTAATCTCTCTCTGCACTGGGGAAAAGCGTGCAAATATGGCTGCCTTTTCAGTGCAGAGAGCCTTTCCCAGACCTTCTTTCCCAGGTTGAAAAGGAAAGTCATAAAGCTCTGCTCTTATTAGTGTGTGTGGGGGGGAATATTAACAATTGAGATTATTTCTCAGAAAATTTTAGAATTGAACAATCTATTCAGTTCCATGTGAATAAACCAGTGTAAAATGTTGCAGTTTGGGAGGGCCCAACAACTTGCTCCATTTTCTTGTATAATTAAAAACATTGTTTTATTATTCTTCAGTGGAGCATGTATTGGTATTTCAGATCCAAGCTTGTGTCCTCTGCTTCCCTGGTGTTTGTTAAATCCTTGGGTATCTGGGAGTAGACAGGGGAGGAAAGTGTCCATTTTAAAGGACACTGGCAGCTGTCAGTCATGTTCTGGAATGAATATGAATATGACTTCTGCTGACAGATGGCAACAGAAGTTCTTAAATCAGAAATATCCAAGGTTATCAGAACTTTTTCAAGAAATACAAATGGCCTGCTCCACAGGGTGCTGTGCACTTTCTGCTTAGGTGCACATCCATTTAGGTACTTACTGGGTATGAGGATGTTAATTGCAGAGAGTTTACACATAGACACCCAGTGCAAATATTTACAAACATTACTATAAGTCCAAAAACAGTGTTTTGAAAGGATGAGGGGAAGGAGCTACCTCTTTCAGGCAGGTTCTAAAGCCTGGATGTCCATGCCCTTGCATTAATGATAAGGCTAGAACTAGCCAAGGACATTTCCTCTTAGCTGAGGTTCAGTGGAGCAGCTCCTATAAAAACTGCAAAGGGACCGTGACTCCTGCTTTTGGAAAAAAAAAAAATGACTTTTTTTTTCAAGGCTGGAACTAGGGACTTGCTCTTTCCCTGAAAAACAAAAACAAAAAACCCGAAACCTCTCTCCTCTTTGATATTGTATTGAGCAGGCTTTTAAATGGGCAAGCATTTGGGGGGCAAGGGAAGAGGAGAGAAACTAGAATTACATAGAAATGAGAATTGCACTTAGGGCAGACTTAACATAAAGGGTTTCAGAAGGGACCCAAAAAGAGTGTTTCTGCCCTATCCCAGGACTGAGCAGGAGGATATTTCTAAAGGCCAGGCACTGGGAGGTCAAACTGTCATTTTGGAGTTGACAAGTATCGAACCATTTCCAGCCTTTGAGCTGGCTGGTGACTGTCCTCCCACAGAAACCCCAAGAAACGGGAGAGACCCCAGTTCATGTTGGAAAGGTGTTAGGGAGGAGAGCACGATTTCTTGGCCTGCAGATCCCAGGTTTTGTGCGCAAGATCACTGGAGCCGGCTTGCCAGGAGATGAGAGAGGCAAAACTCGAAAGTGCTTGACTGCCTTTCGGACTGGGCTTTTTCGTGGGGGGAGGGGAGGAGAAGCTGAGTGTCCCCCTGCCCCCCAAATCCCTGAAAAAAGAGTTGCAGGGAGGTGACCGCAATTTAGGATCATCAATCTAAGTGCCTGGGCAGTACGCCTCACTCATTTCCCCTCTAATACAGAACTAAATTGAGCAGATGTTTAGAGGCAAACCAAACGAAAAAAAAATCCTAGAAAAGGTGAGTCAGAAACCGTGGAGGCAAGAGAGGCAGAAAGAGCAGAGGAAAGGGACCTAGAGGAAGAAAAACAGGAGGGAGGGAGAAAGATGAAAAAGAGAGGGAGAGAAGGAGGGGATGAGGGAGAGGAGGAGAGAAAGAGTGGGGGGAGAGAAAGTGGAGTGGGGGAGGGAGAGCAAAATGGGGTGGAGGAGGTAGAAAGTAAGGGGGGGAGGAAAGAGAAAAGAAAGGAAAAAACATGGCGCTTGCAAGCTGTACGTGCAAAATCCGCAAGGAATTGCAGTAAATTCCTTTTTGTTTGAAGAAAATTTACAACTTGGTAATAGACCTTTTTATGACCTATTTGCGGTCGTCATTGGCTGAAGCTGGTCATGTGCAGGCGCCGCTCGCCTTCACGGCCTTTTTCCTGATTTCCCAGGCGAATTTCCCCCCGCATTCTGCCTTCCTGGAGCCTCACCCCCTCTTTTTCTAACCTTTGTCTCTGCAGAGGTGGGCTACAGTCGCGGGCTGCGGGAGTGCGGGATCCGCAGCGGCCTCGGCTCCCACCCGGTGCCCAACTTGGCCCCACCACCGCTCCGCTCCGGCCTCGCCGCAGCGGCCTCCGGAACCGGCGGGGAGCTCGCGGGCGGGAGAGTCCGGAAGGAGCCCCAGGCGCCGAAGACCCCTCCGGCGCCGACACCGCCCGCCGTGAGCGGGCGGCCTGCTCCGGGTGGTGCTGCCCTGCGGTTCCGACGCGGCTCAGTCTCTGACTTGAGCGGGTCCACGCTGCCCAGGGTGCGCCTAGCCCGGCAGCCCCAAATGGATTACTGCAACCTCCCCGGCCGACCCCCGCCTCCAGCTCTGCAGCCTCCGGGTAAGAGTCGCCCCCTTTTCGCTCCCAGAGCGCCGACACGGAGAAGCTCGAGGCGCCCACCCCCTCCGGCAGCTGGGTGGGTCCGGGCCAGACCTTTTTCGCTTCCCCGAGACCTTGGGTTGGCTGTCTGTACCCCCTTCTGCCTAATCACTCCATCTCTGAGCGGTCGTCCCCAGGGGTCCCGGCGGAGGTCCTGCTGAGCTGAGAAGTCCAGGGGAAGGCCCATTTCCTCTGGAGATTCCCAGAGGTGGATAGCCGCAGACAGGATCCCACCGCTTAGGTCGAGAGCCCCTCAGTTCCCACCCTGGGGAGTGTGTAGGTGGTTCCTGGATGTCTCAGCTTTGCTGGGGGTCCCTAAAGGCACTCTATAGCATAGAGAAGTGTTCTGCGGTTTGTCTGTGGTCAGAGGTACCTGGGAGACAAACAGGTGTTTTTTGATGGTTGGGGTTTGGGGTGGGGGTGGGGAGGACTCTGTGCTTAGGATGTACTTGGTTCTTTAGTCTAGGTTGTTGGTGGGTGATGCTGACTAATTATTCCGGTTTATGGTTAATTGGGCCTTGTGTGTGAGATGGAATGTTAAATATTTTAAACTAATTTTTAGTGAATTCTTGTAACAACTCAAGAAAGGTTTCTCCCACACCCGATAATTTGAAAGGTGAATTTGCATTATTTTATGTCACAATATGGATGCTTTGGTTGTATTATCAGGAAATCTGGCGAGGGCTTGGATAAAACAATCAGACATTTCAGAAATGCGAAGCATGTGTGTGTTCAAACAGTTCTTGTGTTTCCTACTTGACAGAATAGGAAAAGGGTAAATATTTTGCTCTCTGGATATACAGTGGTGTTGTGGATATATATATATAATGTATTTTTTGCCTACAAACCAATATTCTGTAGCAACATTCCCCCCTACTTCAAAATTACTGAACCGAAACATGAATCAAAAGAAAATCTTTGCAGAAAAAAAAGAATATTTTCTCTCAGATACTTTGAACAGTACTTGAGGATGTAGCACTCAAATCCTATTGCCTATTTACTCACGAACACATTGTGAAATATTAAAACCTTTGGCCAAGCTGCCGCATTGCGCATGGTGTGAACCTGCTCAGAGCGGAGTGTGATCTCCAAAGCATCCATTGGCAAAACAATGTTTCCCCAGATATTCCAATGTAACCGTGTTGGCCATAAAAGCGTTTCTGAACAATAAGTGTTATCTTTGTAGAAAGATAATTTTAGTAATCGACAGTGGAATCACGTTAGTTTCAAAATGGAGGTCCATGACTTGTGGCCAGTTGACCTCACAGAATTATCGTGGGTCACTAAGATCACTCACAAATAAGAAACCTGGAGTGATTTTTAAATATGGAATGTCTGTATTTTGTAACTATTTCTCTGCTATGGTGCAATGGCTGTTGAGATTAGTCTTTCATATTGATAAAAAGCATTATCTATTGAAAAGCAGGGGCCTAATTGGGAGCTCTTAGATCCTCCCCTGGCAGCTCCATAGCCCAAGGAGCCTCTAGTGGACTGTGACCACAGTGGGGTTGGAAAGGAGCTCGGCTCAGTCGCTTTTCTTTGGGTTGGGTGGCTGAGCTCGCTCCAGTGACTAGAAACCTGTGCGACTGCAGGTCCAATTACACAGCAGAGGGTGATGTCATGGGCAGATAGATATGGAGGACTGAAAGGCTCTTCTTACAAAAAGCCCTGTGCCCCCCCCCCCAGCATTAAGAGCTTATTGTAACTAAATGGCCTATTGCATCTAAGGGAATAAATAATCTGCAAATCACATTTGAATTCAGGCCACTTAGTCCACGAGTAGACCGGTTAACGCGTTTGCCACTGCCGGAAATGCACCTATTGTCCCTATTAACCCAATAAAAAAAATTAACGAAATAAAAAGCACTTGGACCCTTAGAGCTCACAGGCTGGGAAGTGTAACTCCCAGAGTGCTTGGCCGGCACTTCTATCGGTTTGCACATCAGGGAGACCATGGCACGTCAGGGCCCTGGTGTCACCGGGTCAGGCTGAGAGCTAGGTTTGCGCTCTCCCCGAGGACCAGGAAAAACAGCAAAGCTCATTATTATAAGTGTGGCCAAGCATCAGGGCTGAAAAACAAACGTGTTTTCCTGTTAGATGCTGCTCCAAATGAATATATTTCGCCAGAATTTTGTTTTCTGGGCTTGAGAAGCAGAGGAAATTGGAACAAAGACAGTATTTCACTCTGGGCTGGCAGGCAGCTGTTAGAGGTATTTACGGCCCTGCCGCAGTGCGGCGGCTGGGCAGGGCATGAGGGGGCACCGGAAACGGGGGAGAAGCTACCAAGAACTCGGAATTCCGATTTAAGTCCGATTTAGGGCCACTTTTCCGGAATTGGTGGGAATAAATACCCTCCTTCTAGGAACTGGCCCCTTAGACTTGATAGTTGTGCAGAATGAGGGAGAAGTTGTGCTCTTTGAACGTAGAGTGGTTTTTCCCTGCCTGGACTAGCGACTCAGGAGACGCCGTGCACTAGATATGAAATTGCTGGTCCTAATGACCACCTGGAGAGAGTTGGCAACGTGGCGATTGTGCCGGGTCTGCGGAACAGGGCTTGCAAATCAGAATAGACGGTCAATGCTTTTAATACAGGTTTTTCTGAAAGTATGTTCCCTACCTTTCTGAAAAAAGAAAAGTATGTTTCCTACCCTGAGATAGGGTATCTAAGCGCCCCTGCAGGTAGGCGCTGAAGCAGTGCAAGGTGCGGAAGGCCGCCCGCACAGCCCCTAGACGCCCAGGCTAGACCTGCGTCTGGCGCATGTGCAGTGAAATAGCCCAGCCGCGAGCTCCAACCAGCAAAAGCCTGGATGGGGGGAGGGGGACGAGCGTACTCAGGGCAGGGAAATATAACCCGATCTCTCCACTCCTCCCTCAGGAATCGCTACTCATCTTTGTTTTATTCCAGCCTTCAATCTAAATATAGCTGAACGCCTTGCCCTTCACTACATTATTTTCAATCATCCTGACTCACCACCTCACCCCAATTTAAATCTGTACTTTAGAAACAGTCTGCAAATACAAGCTGGTCGCTAAAGGGAAACCGAGTCTTCTTTCAAGGCGTTAAAATAAATATACACATGTATGTGTGTTTAACACCTTAAAAATATTTTATATATGTGATCCTCAAGGAAGTGTATAATTTTTTTCAGCGTGATGCTTCTGCTTTCGGAAAGGGTCTGTCCTTTTGGTGCCTGTTCAAACCTCCAAACTTCAGGCCAATGGCATCAGCCGGACCTTCCTGGGATCTTTTTACTCCCATGCAACACATTGGAGGGCCTTGGGAGGGGGCGGACAGGCGGTGACTCAGTGGAGAGCGGTCAAATAAATAAATAAACGGGAAAACTGGAGGGTTTTCTTCCTGGGCTTGCCTAATTAATGGGGGGGATGCATGGTCCTGGGCCACGAGCTTGTTGTCAGTGCTGGAGGGAGTGCAACAGGAGGTGACCTCAAAGACCTTCCGACTTCTCTGGCCACCAGCAGTGGGCACCGCAGCAGGAGCTCCCAGCTTCTGGTGCGGGAAGACCTCCGCGCACACATGGAAGCTTGGGCCTGGGAGTATCCAGGCGGGTGCAGTCTCCCTGCTCAGCTGTCTGGCGCCTTGTCCAGGAGGAGGCGCTGTAGGACAAGCGTCTCGAGGCTGCAGCTGTGTTGGAATTGCTACGGGCGCTACCAGGCAGAGGAGGTGAGGGAGGGGAGGAAACTTGACCCCGCGCCTCCCTCTACCCGCCCTCCATCCCGGCTTTCAGAGTGCTCCGTGCGGCGGACGAGGGTCAGGACACTGCGCCCAGTCCCAGAGAGCAGCTTCTCAGACCGGGCAGATGAGACTGCCTCCAGTCCTGGGACCCTGTAGGCAGGGCGCAGGGTGGCAAGCAGGCTACCTCACTCGTCTTCGTCTTTGCGGAGGGGGCGTGATTTTCGCGCGCTTGGCTGCTAAGAGCAGGAAACTTGGGTTCTGTGGCAGGGCAAGCCCTGCTCGACCCACAGGGTCCCAAGGAGCCCTCTTATGCTGGGCTGCTGTTTTTGACACTTTGCCTAACCATGATCCCTGGTTCCCCAATGGGCGGCCTTGAAAAGCACAGCGTTGGGCGCCTCCCCCCGGCGGGCCTTGCCTTGGTTCACCTAGAGCAAGGCCTGGGTCCTGGGACTCCCCTGGGGCTCCCTTTGAGAGGCAGGACAAAATTTACTGCCTCTTTGACTTGGGAACTCTGCAGATGCCCATATCTATCCTTTTCCACACCACCTACACTTCTTTCACCATTGCCTTATTTCAGGCCTTTGGTGGGCTCCACGGGGCATTTCTTGGACCAGCGGTGGCACACAACTTCACCAAGTAGCTCTCCTCCAACCCTGTTGCTCCTCTGTTGGCTCCTGGCAATGCAGTTTTTCAACCTTTTCCCCTATTTTAGGGGATTGATTCTTAATCAAGGCCTGCATTCAAATCTTGTTTATAATTCAGGTTTCTGGGTCTCACACCAGGTATCTTACTAAATCATGCAGGGGCCTGCATTTGTAAACACTGTTGCTCTAGGGCAATCAGGATGCACACTTATGTCTGAGAACTACTTGATCAAGTGTCTCTGGAGGGCATTTTTTTCATTGCTTTTACAGAGAGAGGAAGGGAGAGAGGGTTTAGAGAGGGAGGGAAGAGAGGGAGAGAAACATGGATGTAAGACAGAAATACCAGTTGGTTGAATGCTTGCCCCAACTAAGGACTGAACCCACAGCCTAGGGATGTGTCCTGTCTTGGAATTGAACCCAGAACCTTTTGGTCTGGAGTGTCCTACCCTTTTGGGCAGGACCGTGCCCAACAATCTGGGCCACACTGGCCAGGTCTCTCCTGCTTTAAAAAAAATTATTGTTATTCTGTCTCTAGGGGTTAAGTTCCCTCTACCACTCAGGGGCCCCTGTAGTTCTGGGTGCTTACTCACTAATTGGGTTTTCTAATGTCACTTTCCCAATGG